TTGCTTCTTACGTGTGATTATTTCTCTCGTAGGCTTTTGACATGTATTTTAACTACGAACATAATTTATGATTTCTCTATTACGAATATACGGAGCTGCGAATTTTAGTGATTCGGAGTTGACAATATGATAATATGACATTTCCTTTTTGTTCATACACTTAGTAAGTGATTTATGTACGAGTACATACGAGTATTTAGAAACATTTTTCCTTTTTCACGTAATTTGATCTCTTTTAGATTTAAGATGAAAATTACTTTCTAGGATCAATACTAGTCTAAAAAAAATTTCCTCATGTCATTTGCTGCAGAAGAACCAACAGTTATAAAATGTTTGCGGAATTTAAAGTTTCTGTAGTTTTGACATAATAATTTTTACAAAAAATTTATAAATAGAACTTTCTACCTAGGCTTAGACCTTTCACACAAAATAACAATTTTTAAAGAGAATCTTGAATATGTATCTTAAAATTATATATGTATCTTAAATGTCGAAGTTTTTTTTACACAAACGAAATAATGACAGACAAGAAAAAAAAATTAAAACAATAAGTATATTTTATTTAAATTTCATTTTAAATGTTCTTAAAGTAAGTAAAACCTTCAGAGAATTAATTTTGATTTTATATGAAAGAAAAGGACAAACAATTTTTTGGCGAAAAAAGAACTGTATACAAAATGAAAAAAAATATTCAATCTCTTAATATAAGCTCCGATTGAATCGAAGAATATTCGCAGCTGATGAATTGATATAATATGTATGTAAAGATTCGACATCTATATGACGGTATCACGTAGTTTAATGATTGCCCTTCTTATATTGGAAAAAATGTAACGATGTCATGAATAAATTTAATATATTTAATCTTAATAAATCAAAAATTCAAAAAAAAAAGTATGTAAATATGTATGAGTAGCGATAAGGAAAGTTGGTTCAAGTTTTTCTTTTACGGTTTAATAATTACTAACTTTGAAGTCGATTCTCTATTAATACTCGCATAGGCGGTAAAGAAGTAAAACAAAAAATATAACCTGATTAAAACCTTTAAAAGTATAAACTAATTGTTAAAGGAAAAATATTACAAAACTTTGTGTTGTTGAATAAACTATGATACTTTCTAAAAGGATCATTTATGAATAAAAATTTAATAGAACAATAAGAATTTTTCTTTTTTTTCAGGAAAAAATTTTCTATTTACAAGTTTTCAATTCAAATTTATTAGTTTATTTCTGATACACAATACGCAATATGGTTTCTCTTGAAGATTTTTTGGACATTTAATCTTATAAAATAATTTTTAAGTTTTTAAAATATTTTCTAATAAATTTGATAACAATTAAAATTTTTGTAGGTTTTCATTATTATAAAAATTTTTTTTTTGTGGAAATACTAAAAGTTTGTGTCTAAATGTACATTAATATATTTATGCTTAAGTGAGATTACTTGGCTACATCACATTAAAATAAATAAAATTCAAATAGAACTCAGTTCTAATATAATTTTTAGATATTAAGTCAATATCTGAAAATAAGTAGTAGTGGCTATCAAACCAAAAATTCACCTAGTTAGAGAATATAAGCAATTTATAATTAATTAATCGTACAATAGTCTTACAAGGTAGACTACACTAAACTAAAATAAAGTATTTTAAAAGTTTTCAGTTTGAGAAATGTTTTGTGTTCTGTAATTCTTTTGATGATTTCTGTTTCTTTAACCAGTTCTGGGTATATGACATTTTTAGTTCTATAGTTGTACGAAAAGACTTGCAGTCGCTAATAATTCAAAGTATTTAATAGAATTTTACGAGTTTTAAAGTGAATCCTAAAATGTGTTCAAGTAATCATACCTACACCTCAGTTATAATTAAAAGTGTAAACGATTTTTAAAGACAATCTAAGTCTAAGGCTTTCGTTCTCTTGAAACTGTGTTATGATATGTGTTAAGATAATTTTAGAACAAAGCTTTTCATTTTCTTTAATTTGGTAAAATGACATTTTAGAAAGTGACATAAGCAATATAAACTCATTTTAATAAAAACTTTATTTCCTTTTGAAATTATGAAAAATATTTTAAAATTAAGTACAACTTTAGAACAATAAATTATAGTAAAAAAAAATGTTATTTGTAAATAAGCGAACAGCAAAAAAAAAATCGGAAAAATTATAATGTTTTTGAGTTTGTCTCCTTTTACATAAGTAAAAAGATGGTTTTTTGTGAATATTTAATTAGGTTTCTGTTTATTTTCTCGATTTGTCTACGGAGTAATAATAAAAGTCCCTGAGTGGTACTTTATACGCATTCTATTTTTTACTTTTAATTTTATATCGCTAAATTTTTAAAGAATTTTTTTTTTTAAATACATATAAAAAATAGGTAAGGAAAAGAACTGAAGGAAATGATTGTCACAATAACAATATTTTTAGGAAACTAGAAAAGAATTACGGCGAACAAAATTTATTCAAAATTCTTAGTTACAAAAAATTTATAATGAGTCAACAAAGAGTGAAAATCCTACGATAAAATGAAACACATAATCAAAAAAGTGTTTTAAGATAATGAAGAATAGGTTCTATTTTTATTTATATAGGTTTGATTGTTGGTACATTCATAATACAAGGAATTAAAATATCATCAAAAGTGTTCTAACCGAGACCAACGTGTGCTACCTACAGTACTATAATGCAAATTGAGATTGGTTATTACATTTTTTTTAGGAAAACTTTTGCATGAAAAAAAAAATTGAAACACGTTTTAACATATAAAATTATAGAGACAGTATAGAATATATTGTAAAGATTATGTTAAAAAAATAATATATGGAATAACTATTTCTATTAATGCTATTTTATGCTGCTAGTAATAATGTAAAATAGGGTTAAATTACTCTCCATAATATGAAGGCGAAACAGCTCAAAACTATACAAATAGAACAATATTTTACTGTTATAAAACCACTGGGAAATGTACGAAATTCAGACAGTTATACCATGAAACAGAATAAAATAATATTAAACTTAAGTACAGTTTAAAAGAAAAACAGACAAACCCTTCGAGGAATATTAAAATTTAAAAATTTTTTAAGGCAAAAGACATATTTTTGTCACTAATTCTATCATTTGCTTTATTTTGTAACAAAAAAAAAATTGGACAATATCAAAAAGGACGTAAGATGAAAAATCTTTTGAACAACAACAACAAAAAACAATGATAAACAAATAAAAAAGTTTATAATTTAATTGAGAAGAAAAGTTTTCACTCCGGATGATTATTTAATTTTGTAAATTAATTTTTATTTCCATTAAGTTTAAAAAAAAAAATTTCTTTTGTTGTCCTTATAAACATCCAAATAAATTTGTTGGGTTTAATATTTTATTTTGAGCCTGTTTTTTTTCTATTCCAAATTTGTTATAAACAATATGAAACGAAAAAAGAAAATTTTATTAAAATATAAATTTAAATATTTAATAAGGAAAAAACATATCAGTACCTACTTCCCTAACTATGTAACATAGTGAATTTGTCGCTCAAAGTGATTTCTAGTGTTAAACTTAGATAATATTAAATTAAATATTTTCCGAATTATTTACCTCTAGCAAGGGTAAAAAATGTGCTTGATTCGTTTTTTATATCAAACAAAAGAAAATTAGAATATTTTCTCTTCAATCTTTTTCATGGCTTGTTCTAATATTACATGGTACATTATGTTAATATGTTACACTTTCCTAATGACAAGCATTAAAAATTTTCAAAAATTTGTAATAAAATTGCGAGGGGAAGAAAACTTAAAAGACATTTTTTTTTTGAAAGCACAATACCTTTACATCATGCTTTATCTTAACATCTTCAAGGACGTCTTTCAAAATTAAAATTTGTTTTGAGCCCATATCTTCTTAGACGGTATTATAAAAGTAAATAAAGCATCTACGGAATTTTCCTAAAATTGCTGCATTTCGTTAACCGTTGAGATTAAGGCACCTTGAAAAAAAAATTTATCCATATTAGATCTTCTTAACGATAGTATATTATGTTAAATGACTGTTTACTGATATACATATACATGGTCTACTCAATCTATACGACTAATGAAACTAGATATATAACGTACAATCTATTACGAGAAAGCCTATGAAATTTATTAAACGGCAAGATAATTTTAATACTAAATTTTTATGATTAAAAATTAATTTTTCTATCTATAAAATATAAAAATCAGTTCAGTGATTTTTGAATTACAATTTTCACAAACTTTTAGGTACACAGTAGCATTCTCTTAAAACGAACATATTAAAACTTACACAAGTTTTTCATCAATTTAATTTCACAGTGTCTTCTTCTAATGCTTGGGGCAGAAGGGTTACACTTCAGTCAGCAAGAAGAAACCTGTAATATTTGCAGAGACCTGCATACGTTTGCATCTTTGTAGCTATGAGGATATGTCCACCCGAGGCAATGGAGGTGATTTTGAACCCCACTGCATCTCGTTATCGACTTGGCGGCGAAGGTGGCTTTTCTAAGGTTGGGGAAGAATGGGTGATATGGTTTGAAGATATAGCTTCGAGAAAAACTTCGTTGTTGAGCGGCCGAAGCAACTGGAAGGGAGATTTTTCTGGCTACCCGGTCTGGTCAAATGTCGTCGTATGGTTCACGGATGGATGAAGGTGGACGCTTGTGAGGGGATGGGTGCGGGCGTTTTTGGCTAAAAATCAAATTCGCCGAACCCATGGAGATGTATCCCAGGGTCTTACAGACGTAAGTGCATGTCATCGACATGTGTGTGCAGTTCAACCTTGAAAGACGATATCGCGGGCCAGAAATATTGAACATCTAAGGTAGTCAGACTGCTATCAGAGCTCTAAGCTTTTTCTCAGTATCCTCTGAGGTAGTATCGGGCTTTCTTGAGAAGCTCAACAAATTGGAGAAGAAGGAAATGGACAGGCGCCGTTTGAAGCACTGAGGGTGTCTTCCAGGGCTTCGACAGGCTAAAGAGCTTCTGGGAAATTATGACCATAGGCGCTTTAGAAAATAATAAGGCTCGGCAGGAACCAGGTGAATTCTCACCACGATCTTGGCAAGGTCCTGCCGGCTTGGGACTCATTTTAGAAGGTTTGGTCTAGAAAGTGGAGATGTTTGCAGGTTTTGCGGGCAAGATGAGGAGTTCTCGGTGCACCTTCTGAGAAAATGCAGGGCCTCGTCCACATGAGAAGGTAGGTATTTGGGAACTATGTGCTCACTCCAGGGAAGCTGCGGTCTTCTAGTTTTTAAAGTTGCTCGAATTCATCAGGATGGTGGGTCTTCAGGGGGTGTTGTAGCACTTTGTCCCGCACCTAGTTGAGGGTCTATATGTTCACTAATTTCATTGTTTCATTTTTGAAACTTACTATACATGTTATATAAAAACAAAATTAAATATTTACCTCTTGCCTATTTAACTATATAATCCGTTAAATGTTCTTGCAGTGGTGTACCATAACAAAAATTAAATTCTCATAAAATTTTCATAGAATAAAAATATACAGAAACAAGGAATTATTTTAATTTAGCTTTCCCTTTCATTTTTATAACTGCTACAATATCCAATTAAAATATTTTTTAATGGTCTCTGTTTTTCTCTCTCGGTTTAATGTCACACATAAAAACTTAAACTTACATAAATTAATTTCGTTTAACAAAAATTTAATATTAGCGAAAAAAAAATGGAGAAAAACGAAAGAAAATACTTTTATTTGTTTTTAAATAATTTTACTTTTAGTAAAATAATTTGTACCAATTTCCAAATTCATAAAACAACAGGATTTTTTAAAAATATTTTCAAATTTATAATAAAGAGTAAAAGTTTTTATTTCACAAACCTTTCGCAATCGTTGAAAATTTAGGGTATAAAAAATATTTTAAGAAACAATATAAACCCCCATAATCATCCTACCCACTTTGCTCCATTCGGTGCTATTTATGTTTATAAAATATGTGTACCAAATTTAAGAAAAATGAAATTTATTTTTATTAGTATAACATATTCATTTTATATACTAAGTATATACACTCTCGAATATATAGAATAAATGACAGAAATTCCATTTTATTATAAACGCTTACGAACATGTATATAAAATCTATATAAAATAATGTTACGTGCATATGCGATGTTCTTATATTATCCTTTTACCCACATCATAATACAAATAATTACAAACACATATTGTTAAGTATTTACACACATTCTATATTATAATTTCAGAAATTAGTATATAATGTACAGGTGTACATTAGTATGTTTCTATACAATTGTAAATTTATTGTATGTTTTTAAATGTCACAACTTTTCTTAACATTTAACGAATTCAACCATTTAATGTGTGCATGTGTTTTATTGAAATAACTAGAATATCTTAATTTTTCAAGTTAATATATGAGGTAATTTTACCAACAAGACGCAATAAAGTATCAGATTTAAGGAAACGATAGCGAACAAAAAAATAGAACATTAAAAACAAAACAAGATTTAAAGGAGGTGAAATTATTTTATATGTATAAGTATTTCATCTAACGATTTAGTATGCTAATTATGATGGGATTCCCACAGGTTTAAACTACATGGTTGGTAAACGTAAGTGAAAGCAACTGCGGTAAAAAATAAGCTTTTTTAAAAATGCGGCTAAAAAGTTCTGTACGATGAATTCTTATTCAATCAAACATTGCTAATCTTTCATTGTAATTGATAGCTTCAAATGAACAAATTTATTACTAATTCACGCATCATCAATACAAAATATATTATTAGTATTAGTTAATTTGTAACTTCATATGAACGGCAGTAGTTTTGCATTGTTATAGTCGAAATCTGCTTATGAAAATCTATCAAAACAGAATTTTCGGGTTTAAACTAGTTGCTTGTTTAATATATTTTTTTTTCAATATTTTACAAAATTTTGAATTGATTAATTTTCGAATTTTTATTGATGTGGAGTTTTCTTATATATCGCATATAGGATAGGCTGCCCATTTTGTGAATTTTTCAAAATAATGTTCCAAAATCTCAGTATAACTCAATAAAATATCGTATAACGTATAATACTTTCGTACCATATTTGAAAAACTCATAAAAGCGCGATAAGAACCCTTTAGTACGAGACTAGAGACAACAACAGGTGTTATAATTTGCAAAGGAGGATCCTTGCGTTAGGTAAATTAAGTTTGATTTTGATTAAATCGCCTTTTTAAACTAATAAAAGCTATGGAAGCCTGACTAAAACTATATGGAAACTTCATACTCCGTTTCTAAACTTAAAAAAAAATCGTTGACTTATTTGATTGCTGGAATTATTCCATTCTTTTTAATATCTTGGTATAGCCAAACCTTATTGTTGATATATTCTTCAGTAGAACTATATTCCATTTGTTGACAGACTAAATTCACTTTAATTTATCTATAAATCGATACAGACAGCACGAAACTTATTTAGAAGTCTGTAATTGCGTGAAAAAGTTTAGAACAGCTTTTTTTCTAAAATTTTAATATTAAACGAGGGATAAGAGCGATCAAGTTAAATAAAATCTTCTAGTACCTAAATTTTGCTTAATGAACGTTTTATTTAAAGGAAATATTTTTTTTAATTTAACTTTTTTTTCGATATAATGAAAATTGAACATAACAGCATACACATCAGTCGTGAAAAATTAAATCGAATAAGATTCGGTGCATGTTTTCCACTCTTTCAAGTGCATTCTTGTATCAAATTATTATATTTAATATATTTCTAGAAAAATATAATGAAAAAATTGTTTTCAATTTTTTTTATTTCAAATACCTATACGAATATACTTACATTTATAATATACTTCAATTTATATAATATTATATAATATTCCATAATATTTTGATATTAATGAAAGCAAACACTTTACTTTTGTACTCAATTTTACAGTGTGCTCCTTTAAGTATATTTAATAAAGTTGGGTCAAACCAACTTGGTTCGTATTGTAGCACTTTTCCCTTCAACAAATGAAAATACTACTTTTAAAAACAATCTATGTATACCTAACACACTAATAAAATTATTTTCATTCATAACCGAAACTATCTGTAGGATTGCATATATTTCGGATTAGCGATTTATGCAGTCTTTGAAATAAAGCAAAAATAAAATTGAAGAGGGCTTAATCAAATGCTCGATTTTAACGGTTAATTGTCAGACTTAAAAAAAATAATTATATTTTTTAATGATATGGAATTTACTGTTAGCTTTCTGCGCTAGTAACCGCTTTTTTCCAAATTTTTTTTGCAAAAATGCTTAAAAATAAAATTAACAAACACTATGGTAGCTTAGTTTTATTTATATTCTTGGTTAAGCTTAGTAAGTAATAATATGTAAAATGTTATAATATGTAACGGGCAAATAAAAAATTTTATATGTAAATAGATCTTTATTACGAAATCTATTTCTATAGAAGAAACTTTTTGCCTTTTAAAATTGCATAACCCCTCAAAATGTTAAAAACGCCATTTTTGACTATTTATTGTTACGAAACACAAACACAGAAAATCTGTGGTTGACTTCTATCGCAAATTGGCCTTAAAATTAATCGTTATCTGAAATCAATTTTTTTTCAAATTTTTCATACCACTTTTCTTCTAGACTATAAGCTGTATAAGTCTGAAATCTTAATAGCTTTTAGATAATAAATACCACCGCTGCATTGGAGGTGATGATCGGATTGCCGCCACTGCACCTCCATATATTGAAGGAAGCTCGGCTGGTGACTTACCGACTTCTCTCTGGCGAGGACGGGGCAGGGCTAAAGTTGGCCCACAGAACTCACAGAGACTTCATTGAGGGCGATCCGATTCTAAGGATAACCATGTCGGATACCTGTCTGCCGCGGTACAACTTCGACCACAAGTACAGGGTTCTGTTTCCTGATCGATGGACGTGGGATCGGGGTGGTCCGGTACTTAGGTCGGGTTCGAGCGTGTGGTATGCGGACGGATCCAAAACGGAGTCGGGTGTGGGCTCGGGCGTATACGGTGTCCGCCCGGACACGCGTGTATATGCAACCCTTGACCCGTATTGCACAGTGTTCCAGGCCGAAATACATGCAATAGAGATCTGTCTGAGAATCAATTTGGAAAGGGGGTATAGAAACCGCACCATCTATGTGTTCTCAGACAGCAGGGCTGCGCTGCTGGCGCTCCGTTCAGCTCAGGTTACATCCAAGCTGGTCTGGAGCTGCCTTGCTGCACTTATGGAATTGGCATCGGAAAACAGAGTGATGCTCATTTGGGTGCCGGGCCATAGTGGCCATGCGGGCAACGAAGTTGCCGATGAGTTGGCGCGGAGGGGATCTGGGGCTGCCTTTGTGCAGCCGCTGCCTTTCTGTGGTCTGCCTTCTTCCGCCGTGGGGGCCAGGCTTGCCTGCCTACTCGCGGCGGAATGCAGTCGTCACTGGCGGGACACGAAAGGGTGCCGTCATGCGAAGGTGTTTGTTCCGGCGTGCTCCGGCGGATTCGCTGCGGAGTTGCTGGGGATGAGCAGGAGCCGGGTTCGCACTATTGCGAATTTCTTCACGGGGCACTGCCCGGTGAAATACCACCTGCACAGGCTGGGGAAGTCGGGCTCCCCCTGTGCAGATTTTGTGGGGGTGGCGATGAGACCGCCGTGCACATTCTCTGCGACTGTCCGGCACTGGCTGTTCGGCGCCGCAATTGTCTTGGACATGGGTCCCTAAGTGTTCGGGAACTATTGTCCAACTCCCTTAGGGATATCTCCGGCTTTGTGATTGGGACGGGGATATTATAGACGGGGGGGTGGGGTGGCTACAATAAGTCAAAAATGGCTGCGGTGGCTTGGGGGGATGCTCCTGCCCCACTCAGTTCCCTTAGAATCTACATCTACATCTACATCTAGATAATAAATAAACAGTTGATTTTGCTAGAAGGAAATTTGTAACTCGATCCCCTCTCCTTTCGCTATAGTCCCCCGAAATTTGAATTATCCTTACCTTATATTTCTCAAACTGCAAACTTTTCCAAATGTCTTTATATGCAGAAAACTAACGGTAAATGCCATGCCATCAAAAAATGTAATTATTTTTCTTGCCCAACACAA